GGTGAACAAGAGAAAGTTCCTGTCTTCATGGAACTAACATTCCAGTAAGGAAGACGGTCAAATACCAAAATAGTGGGCATGTCAGCTAGTGCTATCCAATACGGAAAACTAAAGCAGAATAAAGAGATAAATGACAAAGACCATTTCATATACCACCACCAGCGAAGGAGTCTCTGAAAAGGCCACATTTACATAAAAACCTCACGAAATGTGAAAACAGGTGGTGAAAGAATCTGAAAAATGTGGTCTAGACAGAAAAAAAATTAAGGATTAAGGCTTTTCCTTGCATAATTATATGTTCACATACTCTCTCCTGATCATTTTTGCACAAATATGTGCAATATGTGATCAAAATATACGGTAAATGTTTACATTTTTTTTAAACTATGAAAGTAAAAGATACAATGCCATTAATCTTCAAGCACACTTATCCCATCATTCCTGCCACCTTCTGAAGCAGTTCTGTAAGTCTTCTTTCCTGAGTTTCTTCATGAGGTGTAAAATAAATATATAGTGAATACTGCTACTGAGGGTCATCCAACAGAAAGGCAGGCTCATAAAACTCTAGTGTGTCCTCATTCACCTTATTCACTGGATCTGGTATCATACTACTTCTAGCTCTTCCCCAAAGTCAAAATGACCATAAATGATAAACATTTTGAATTGATTCAGGACATCAAGGGAACCACAACAATGCAATTAAAGACGCTCACATAAGAGGACCTCCTTTGAACTGTTTTAGAAGGTGGCAAGAATACTGGGATAATGTGTTCAAAGAAAGGGGAACTATTTTGAGTGAGGTTCATGGCAATGTGTCTTTTACTGTAATAATTTTTTGTAATTTAATCATTCAGTGTATGTTTTGATGATACAATAAGTCCTCAACTTAGGAACATTCGAGTTGCAAACTTTATAGAAACAAACAAACCTCGCATTACAAACATTCCTAGGCATGAACAATTCAAAGAAGTAGCTCACATATCTGCAAAAACAAAAATAGATTATTTACAGTATTTTTGTGTATGTTTGGTTTTTTTATGCTTTACATTGTATGCTTGTGTCAAAGGTGTACTCAGACTTATGAATGAATCCACATATGGAAACTCTCCCAGAACTGACTGGCTCCTAAGTCAGGGACTTACTGTACCTCATACATGACAGTAATAAAGCATCAGGCAGGTTACTAAGAACAAGACAGATGCCACACAGGCCTTCACAGGGCTCCCATTCTATCAGGGGAGACAGACATTTCACAGTTGAATACTCAAACAACTGTTCAATCATAATTCTGATTCTAGGAAGGAAATTTTTTTTAAAAATGGGCACCAGGAGAACACATAACGGATTGGCTTAGCTTGCACAGGTCAGGAAAAGCTTCTCTGAGTAAGTAATGATTTACCTGATGTCTCAAGGATAGGTAACAAAGTACCAGATGGGAGGAAACTTGTATTTGAAGAAATAAAACAAGGTGAGCATAGTGAGAACATATGATATGGTGAACCTCGGCATTCATGGCACAGTGGACACACAAAGCCCTCTCTGTCAGCATGTGACCCAAGTCACCCCAGCATACCCCCAGAAGCCAAGCAATGGATATTCAGGTCTAACTGTAGTGTTGGCATTTTGCAATAAATAAGTGAGTCTGGGGTTGCAGTTCGAGCACTCAGGCTCTAAAAGTTTCACCATCACTCTGATAGGGTCAATGAAATAGACCAGAAGAACCTGAGGTGAACATCCCAGCAGGTCAGTGTACAGAATGGCTTCTTGACTTGTACAACTTCCAACATCAGCAGATAAAGAAAAGTATCTACAAATCTCCAAATGACACATCACACTGTTTTGCTGCCACAGTACACAATGACTGTAATTCAGGTTGTACGTGATTTGTCTAAAAATGGTCCAACTTTCAATGACCTTAGTCACAACTGTCCAATTTTTATCAACTGTCAGAAAATGATGCACTACTATGTATTTTCTGAATGAGCTCCATAAGGAAAAGTTATACCTTGATAAAGAGAAAACATAATTCTGTAACTCAAGAACGTATAAATGACTGAACTATTCAATAGCATTGTAGATTTTTTTATCAAAAGCTGTTCTTGGATAGTTTTGTATATTTTTAAGGCTGAGTATAAGAAAGGCAGTATACGCTACTGCAAATTTCTTCTTTTTCCTAAATCCTTAGCACTTTACGCACCACCCTCCAAGCTGATGATGTACTCCTTAGATCACAAAGAAAACAAACAAGAAGACAAATTCCAAACCCTCCTGCCACATCCATTAGTCCATCTGTACCCACATCCTCTGTTTCTTCCTGTCCCTATTGAGCTGTACTCACTCCCAGCCACAGTCAACTTCAACACTACTAGGTGTCCTAGAGCCCAATCTCTTTACTCCAACACTGTCTTTTCCTCTCTATTGAATCACTTCTATCATCTTTTCAATGAACCATTACAGCATCTACTTTAAAACACAAAATTCTTAATCTATAACTTCTTTTTGAACTACCCTCTTTTCTGCTCACTATACAAGAAAGTTCCTTGCAAAACAGGCCCTCTTATTCTCTTAACTCAACCCTAGCCAGGTTTTCTTCTCACTATCCTCAAAACAAAGGTGGGTCTCATATTGTTCAGGCTTTGGGGCAGTTCTCAGTCATTGCATCTTTAAAACCAAAATCCATTATTTAGCATAGCAATTAAATCTTGAAACAATGTATTCCCCAGGCTTCAGGGACTACACCTTCTTATCGCTATGGCAATTCTTTCTTCTCTTAGCTTTCTTTCCTCACTGAAGTGCTGAGTAATATCGCCCTTCATAAAACGGCCATATCTTAACCCTGAAATATGTGAACACATTAACAGATGGCAAAGGAACTTTGGACGTGTTATTAAATTAAGGATCAGATGAGAAAATAATCCTGAATTTTCCAAGTGAGCCTTGGACCTGGGGTAATCACAAGGAGCCTTGTATAAGAGGGATGGGAGAATCAAAGCAAGGTCTAGTAGATATTGCAATGAAAGGCAGAGGTGACAGCATGCAAGGGAAGAGCCAGGAGACAAGGAATGTAGGCAGAAACAGAAATACTAGGAAAGGGGTTCTCCCTTAGAGGCCTCAGAAGTAAAGCACCATTGACACCTTCATTTCGGGATTCTGATTTCCAGAAATGTTAAGAGAATAAATCTCTGTTGTTTTAATTCATTAAGTTTCTGGTAATTTGTTGCAGCAGCAGTAAGAAATTCATGTTCTTCCAATCTCAAAGCTGTGGTTTACCCTTTGGCCCCTTCTGCTCTGTCTGCACTGACTCCTTTGATGATCCTAATCAGCCTGGAACATTAAGTGGTTCCATGATGACAGCTCCCACAGATGTCCCTAAGTGAACCTCTCCACTGAATTCTAGACTTCTGTATCCAACTACCTCCTCCACACTTGCAACTGTGTGTCTATCAAACATCTCAAGTAAGTAAAAACTAAACTCCAAATCGGATTTCACAAAATCTACTCTTCTATTTCTCTGTTCCCATACTCTAGTTTTTAAGAACAAATATTTGAGTCCATGACTCTTCCCTGTCTTTGACATCCCATGTACAATCTACTGGGCTGGCTTTCCAAGTTTTACCTTCAGATATATTCTGAATACAAGAGTTCCACTATAGTCTCCATTATTCACTCTGTCTTAATTGTCCTTATCACGTTTTACCTTGGTTATGGGTACCACAATAGTGTTTTACTTCCTCCTTTGCCCTTCTGCAGTTTATCACCCCCAAGAGACAAGGCGACACCATAAAAGACTCTATCTGATAACCTCCAATGGTTTCCAGTCTCATTCCTAGTAAAGTACAAAGGCCTGTTCTACAGCCTTTAGGACCCTACAGACAGAGCCAGGTTCTTTCCAACCACATTTGCCCCCAGTCGCTCATGACTGCACGCTTCCCCAGCCTCACAACCTTACACCCTGTTCTACATCTGAAAGGTACAGCAAAAGCTTTTGAAAAATTATTTTAAGGCCAGGGATTTGGCTCAGTGGTTCCGCCACCTGCCTCACAAACACAAGGTCCTGAGTTTGATCCCTGGTACCAAACAAAAACTATTCTAATACAGGTATAATGAAATCATATTCATGCTTTCTTCTAAAATATAGCTATCATATACCATATTTATTCTAATATGAGTGTTCAGATGCAAGTGAATAAATTCTTCCAGAAATCTTAGAAACATGGTACATGGTAGGGTAGCTTAGCAACATTAGACTAAAAATAGAATATATAAACTCAAAATTTATAACATAAAATGTATATAATTAATGACCAAATCTTAAAAGGAAGTTCCTGTATGCCAAATTCATTATATTAAGAAAATACAGAATCAATATGGATCATTCTTCTCATTATAATGGATTTTACATAACAAATCTCACTTTTAAAAATCTCTGTAGGTAAATAACTTTCTATCCAAATTATACCTATTACAGCTGAGGATTTTGCTTAGTGGCACCACGCCTGCCTCACAAGCACACGGTCCTGAGTTCAACCCCCAGTACCCAAAACAAATAAACAAACAAAATGTATCTATTATATTCTTATATCTATTATATTCTTCTAATATAAACATTGATATTTATATTATCCTTACCCTATAATCTTAAAAATCTATATCAAACTATTTGCTAATATCAGCCCAGCACAGAATTGGTTGCTCTAACCTACTGCATTCAAAAGATTCCTGACAAACCCAATACATGACATTCAGTACCCTCTGGAGTAGACCATGCTTAATGTCTTGTTAGGGAAGAAAGAGGATAAGGAAGCCACCAGATAGATTCCTCCAGACTGTCTGTATCTCTCTTCTGATCAAGCTACATATCCTTATGACTTCATTGCAATAAATCTTAGTCTAAGAGTACAATTACATTCCATATGTTTTCTTAGAAATTCTCCCAATGTCGACATGCTTTTAGGAAGTACAACATAGTAGCAGCTCCTTCAAAAACCCAAGACTCTTACCCGCTGATAGGCTTCATAGATCACATCAAACAGAAAAGCCTGTGGCATTTCACTTGCTCTGTATCTGGCACGTTCCAACGAGTGGTCTAAACAACCTTCAGTAGAGGGACTGACAACAGTGGACACGAGAGGTCGAACTGCTCCTGCTGCCTATAGAACCAAAACAAGAAAAACAGGTAAATAGCACATTTATTTCACCTACAGAGGATACAGATTCTGGGTTATGTACAATTTCCACAACTTATCTCAAAAAATATCTGAATGAATGCTTGCTCAGTTCACAAGTTAAATATTATCTCGGGCCAAAAATAATTTCAGTGTTGTCATTCCATATATACAAAGTAAAAATTATAAACTCTCATGACAGGTTTAAAATGCTTTTCCTCACAAGTTACATCAAATATCATCAAAAGGATCCCATATGGCTTAAATATGAAGTATGCCCCTGAGATACAAAGTAAAGGCTGGATCATCAATGTAGTCACAGTCAGCCTAGAGAAGGCGATTAGATTATGAGCTCAGTGACCTCATCAATGAATTAATGCTAATGAATTAATAGCTGACTGAGATAAAAGGAAGTTGAGTCAGTTGAAGGAGGTGCACCACTGAAGACATGCCTTTGAGGGGTACGCCCTGTCCCTGCCCCTTCCTCTCTCTGGCTGTTGTGATGTGAGAAGCTTTCTCTTGCCATCCTTCTGTCTTGCTAATGGAGCTAATCAATCACGAACAGAAACCACCAGGCAAAATAATCCCTTCCTCCTTTAAATTATTTTTCTCAGGTATTTAGTCACATCGACAAAGAGCTGACTAACATACACACACACACACTAACATATAATTGTATATTCCCTAAAGATGGAAGGAAGAAAGAGAGACTGTTATGAAATAAATGAAATGAGTCACAAATTGATGTTTACTAATTAGTTGTATTTAGAATATTTAATTTACACATTACATAATTTAAGGAAACAGACAAACTCCCAAGATCTCCAAACAATCCAAATAACAATGAATCTACGTCTTACTCTAATTCCTTTGAAAAACAGTTTCTTTCAAACATAACCTCCACAAAAAGCTTCCTCAGGCAACATACCCATTGATGTTCATTAATATGATGAAAGATGTCTCATTAATAATTGCATCTAAACCTCTAAAGAAACACCGTCATGTCTGACGATTTTCTCTTTCTTTTTAATGGGGTCTCATTTGTAACAGTTTGAATGTCATTCCCAAACAGCAGCCTTGATGAAGTTGCCTTAAAATGAGGATCTGTAATAGGTGGTTAACCAAACCTAACAATGACTTAAAAATGTCCTTTCTTTCACACAACTGTCACATGAGCATAACAGTAAATAAAGCCAGCATCCAAAAAGAACAAGTGTGCTTTTGAAGAGACCAACATCTGAGCAAGATACAGTCCACATGCTGGTTTACAAAAGCTGAGGGACTGGCTGAAAATCAAAGCTAATGTGTGAGCCAAGTAGACAGTTTACAAATTGCATCACCATTTCCAGTGCCTCAAGTGGAAATTTGGAGCAGGCATAAATGCAAAAATGAGGCAGCTGGGACTGAAAGAAAAAAACAGAATCCAACTGGGTGAAAAGTAGATAAAGGACAAGCCCAACTGGCTAAGCCTGACACCTGATAGGGGTTATAAGATAGGAAGGAAGTATATGCATACCCACAAACATAAACTCTTTTTAAGGAAAAAATGAACTGTGTAATACAGCTACTAGAGGTAGTACTAAAATTATATGCCAGGCCATGAAATTTTTTAAAATTTACTAAAAGAGAACATGAAACGTCCAAAATGGCAGTAAGAGGAGCTCAGCAGACTTTCACACCAGCAAAATAATTAGTGAAAGATATTCTTAAAACAACAATTTAAACCCCTGTGAATTGCTAAATAAACCTCTTCAGCACATGAAAAAATACTTAATCAAGAAAATCTTCTGGATTTCGGTTTTTTAAAAAAAAAGAAAGGTGACACTTGAACCATCACCTTTTTCTTTATCTCCCACCCAGCTCAGGATGACAAATGCCCTATTTGGGCAGGTACAACTGAAAATATGAGGCTCTATCTCTTCCAAGGGCCCAGGCGAAGAGGCAGAGTGCCACTATTTCCCATTCTCTTCAGCAGCATGATACAGAGGATTATTCAAGCAGATTTGACCAAGAGGTTCCCAGCTCATACACAAGGCAGAATCTCCATGTCAAGAAAGGAAGTGAGAGGTAGGGAGACAGCCAGTCTTCTACTGCTCTCACACAGCCCTTGATCATGAAGTCGTCACTCTGAGGAAAAGGACACTGTGCCCACCCCCAGATCTAAATCAGTAGTGCTGTGATTTGTCACAGAGGGAGTGCAAGGATCTAAGAGATCTATGAAGCTCTCCAAAAGAGCTCAGTTTACTTGGATCCAGGTATAGGGAGATTCAAGCCAAAAGTCATTCATCTAAAGGGTAACCAATTAAGAGCAGAGTGGTATCTACATGAAAGTAAAAAAGCTTGACTGTGGACCTGCTAGTTTACCAGAGAAGGATAAGGAAAAATACAGCCAATAAAAATATGCCCGATATCATGGTCAGTCTCTAACAGAGCCAGACAGTATTAAGAGATCAGGGAAGAATCCAGCTAAAAACAATGCCATTCAAAGTATGCACTCTCTAAAAAGCACAGAAAATTTTCTGTGTAAAAGAAAGGCACTCTACTAAAATATATCACCCACATTATAAACAAATAAGCAAGTGATTATAAGTGTTTGGAAGGCAGGAGTTATAGAATCAGTATCTGGAAATCAAAAATTCTTTTCTAAAATATCCCATTTATAACCAAAAAATGCATCCATAAAGGAATGTATAGCCTATATATGTAGGACGGTAGGAGCTGTGGAAAAAAGCTATAGAAACTGCCTGTAAGAAGGTCAACGTGTCAAATTCATCAGGCAAACACTTCAAATCAGCTATTATGAATATGTTCAAAGAACTAAATAAAATCATACTAGAGTAGAGAACTTCAATAACTAAACACTTCTAGAGGAGCTCGATAATACGGTTGAACTATAAAAGAATTAATGAACTGTATCTGAGTCACTTTTTTTCACTTGACAGAACCCCAACACCCACAACTTAAGGAGGAAAGGTTTATTCTGATTTGTAATTTTTAAAGGATTCAGTCCATAGTCAGCTCACTCCAAGGCAGGAAGGACACTGGAGAGGAGTCTGGCAGAGGAAAGCTTAAATCCATGGCATCCAGGAAGCAGCAAGAGAAAGAAAAGCTAGGGAGAGAGATACACCCTTCTAGGTCACAGCCTCAGTGACTTTCCTCTTCCATAGGGACCCTACTGCCTAATAGCACATTCAGCTCTGGACTTTTCAATGGATTAATCCACTGATGAATGCAGCACCTCCATAAGCCAATCCCCTTCCAAAAGCCCAAACTCTGAATACCTGAACCTTCGGGGACATTCTAGATCTAAACCATAGTAAACTGAAAGTTACACCAAGAGAGATCATGCAATCCAAAGAACAGAAAAAAAAAAAAAAAAGAAAAGTGAAACGAGCCTAGAGAACATAGGACCACTCAGTATATCAATTTTGGATTGGAAACACCAAAAGAAAAGGAGAGAGGGAAAAGACCAGTAAAACATTTTAATTATGAGTGAAAATTTCCAAAGAAGTAATAGAAAATTCTGCACTTTAAGAAGCACAATAAACTCCAAGTAAAATAAACACAAAGAAATCCATATCTAGGTACATTTAGTAAAATGGGGAAAGCCAAAGGAAAAGAAAAATCATTTCTCTTAATGCTTTTACATTTCATCATTAACAGATTGCCAATAAGATTAACAACTGACTTCTTATCAGAAATATTGAGAGCTAGTAGGCAGAAGGATGACATTTTTATTTTAGCAGTGAGTACTAAAGATTTTTAAATCATCAAAACCAAAATCTCAAAAATTTACAGAAAATGAAGAAAATGCTTTGCTAGAAAATTCATCTTATAGAAAAATATAAAGTGGTCTGCAAATAAAATGAAATTAACCCCAAATGGCAAGTCTGAGCCACATTTTAAAAAAGCACACGAATAAAGATAATATGTAATTCTAGGAAATTGAAAATGCTTATTTCTCCCATGTGATATAGTAGCAACTAAAACAGCAACTCAATTAAATATATACCCAAATGATCTGCCTATCATACACTGAAATGTAACAATTTAACAAAAAAGAAGAGAAAGACAGTGATTGTAACAAATATGTAGCAGTAGATAAACTAAAATTGGCAAACAAAAAAGCTAGCTATATACATTCATTCACTTTTCTTTTTTCAGCTACAACAGATAATATCAACTAATAATTATAACAATAGATTGGAGTATCTACATGTAGATATAATATGCATAATAAAATAAAAAGTAAAAAGAATAGATCCATATAAGAGTAATGCCTGGAGAGCTCACAGGAATTAAGGTAGCAAAATTCTAATTCATAATAACATGTATAATGTTGGCTTTAGGGCAACATAAAAATGTCAAGAATTTAAGAACAAAATTAAAAGGATTAAAATATCCCAACAGAAAATATCCATTTAATGCAAAAGAAAATAGTAAAGATACACAGCATACATATACACACAAAGAAAAATGTAAACTTATATACCAAAAAATCCAATTGTGTGATAGAGGAATAAACAATTGAAAGTCAGAGATGTCAAAATGGATTTAAAAATCCAATTCCAACTACTATATATAGGAGACACAAGTGAAATGCAAATAATACACCAAAAGGTTGAAAATGAAAGACTGAAAAAAGACAGGTAAACTACAATTAACTGAAGTAGCTATACCATTATAAATACATGTACTTTCAAAAATATTACTAGAGACAAACAGGGCCATCTTATAATGAAAATGATATCTATCAGGATGATAAAAGAATTAAATATATTCACTTAAAAGGTTCTCCTAGGGCTGGGGATTTATTTCAGCAGCACCGTGCCTGCCTGGCAAGCACAAGGTCCTGAGTTCAATCCCCATAACAACAACAACAAAAAGATCCCCTAAAACACATGAAGAAAAACTGACAATTGAAAAAAAAATCAAAAATTCAATATCATTTGGCAACATCAATACCCCACTTTCAATAAAGACAG